AGAAGAGTAAAAGACTGATGTAAATAAAAGTTCATCCAAAATATCAAATTAATTATTGATAATAATATGTCAAATAGTTATGCAGAAGCGAGAGGGAGAGAGAGAGAAGGAGAGGGAGAGATGGTATTTCACTATAATTCTTTAATTAGATTTCAATCCTATAATTCTTTTCATCAAATAATACAAATACGTTTGTTAGAAATTGAATGTATAACAAATGAGAAATTAATAAAACGACAAAAAATTTTTAATATTTGTAATTTTCTAATAAACTTTATTTTGAAATGAATTAAAAATTGCATTTTTTTGTTGTTATTTTATATTTTTGGATACTTATTAACTGAATAAAAGTTTGTTGCATTCAACAAAAAATGATTAATGTTTGGATAAATTTCGAAATTAGGAATGTTTTATTTAATGATATTGTAGTCGAATATTTCCTACTTTAACGTTGCAGATTGTAGATAATTCTTTTTGTTACAAATTAAAAATAATTATTTTGAAGTCTGAATATTTAAGCACATTTTTTTTTTTTTCTGAATATTTTTTTTTCTTTTTTTGAAAGCTTGAAATATTTCGTATATTTTTATGAAACCTCGAAATTTGCTAAAATGTAGTCTGTGTAAAACTGATTATCGCATCAATAAATAATTCCATATTAATAGATCAAAAATTATTAACTGATGTTTTCATTGTATTTTTAAAGAAAATACAATGAAAACTATGATTTGATTTAGTAATTTAAAATTCAACACAATTCTGCAAATGTAATAAAAGAGTTGAAATATGAGAAATCACTGATTATCTCATCAATAAATAATTCCATATCAATAGATTATGTCTTTTACGCTTGAATCACGCTTATATGACGCATAGCAATTAAACCATTTAGTGTTATCTTACGCTCACGTCACTTATGATCGTTGCTCATAAATGTTTCGTAAGTAAATAACAAATTAGATGGTTGCTTTTACATATCAAATATATTCTGTTTTAATTATGAAAACAAATTATTATTGGAAACAATTTCTGGTTTTTCCGTTGCTGAGAGAAATCTCTCAATTCTAGGAATTATTACAAATACTTTTATACATTGTTCCTTAACTTTAAGTTTTTCCTTTTTATCGTCTTTAAGCTTTTTGAGCATTATTGCAATTAAGATTAAAAGAAATCCTTTTGAATTAATATTTAAAGTTTATTTAAATATTATATTTGCTTATAAGATGTACTTGTAGTGATAACTGGTTTGTATAGAAGATCTGATAACTTTGCTAATAAATCTTTTATTGTATTTATTGTAAATAAGTCGGAGAATGAGTATTGATTTTAAGTATTGCTTATATCAACATTTCAAAGTTATCATAGTTATCATAAATTTATCATATTTTTATAGCTTTATTATCATTTACAGTTTCAGAATCGTTTCATTTGTTAATCAGTCTTTTTGATTTGTACTTTCAAAATAATCTTATCTGATGAGTAATTCATTTTTAATTAGAATTCAAGTTGTTGCATAGATTAAGCAATATTCCGCTTCAATTAAAATTTTAATTAGCTTTTTCAAGACAAATAAAAAATAGCAATTCATTTGAAAAAAAAAAAGATATTTTTAAATTAATTGATTATTTATAATAATCAGGGGAAGTATGTTATTTGACAACTTCAATAATAAAATAAGGCTTAGGCTTAGGTCTAGGCTTAGGCTTAGGCTTAGGCTTGGGCTATGTTTCAGATTTGAATATTAATTTTTATGAAAATCCTGGAATTTTTAGGAATGAATAAACCGCATGGTCATTTGATAATTTAAACAATAGAAATATTTTAGTAATTAAGTTTTGATCAGTTACACAGTAGCGAAATTAATGAAATTATATCTGAGTTGACCTTTCATTAATTTCGCTGCTGAAATATTGTTTAAAACTTAATTACTAAAATATTTCTATTATTTAAATTATTTTTCATAAAAATTAGTATTCAAATCTGAAATATAGCCTGAGCTAAGCGCAAACCTAAGCCTAAGCCTAAACCTAAGCTTTATTTTATTATTGAAGTTGTTAAATGACAACACCGTATATGACCATTTCTCTTGACTGCTAAATAATCAATCAATTTAAAAATATCTTTTTTTTTTTAAAATGAATTGCTATTTTTCAATTGTTTTAACAATTAATTAAAACAAAATTTGATAATACTAGAATTTATTTCCTAGTTTAATATACAAAAGCTCTTAAAAATTGTAGGAATTTCATAAAATCAATACTTGAATTTGAAATAAAAATTAATTTTTATTTTAAAAATGATTTAAAACTATGAAAAATTAGAAATTTTATTAATTTCGCTACTGAATTACTATTCAAAAGTTAATTACTAAAGTTTTTTTTATTATTTAAGATGTGAAATGACCACAACACATATGATAAATTTTTAGTATTATGAACATGTTGAGATAGATTTGTTGAGGAAGAATTATCTAAGAATAAATATCGGAAATAAGTCAATATGTTTCCAATTGTCATTTAATTTACGTCACCAAAATTTAAAACCTAAAACTTTTACAATGTGCAAATAATTCGATACTAGTATTTAATGAAGTAAAGCAGAAAGGATTATTCAACACTTTATGGATTAAAGATTTCATCGCCCAGTGACATTCAATTCAAACTGTTTCAGTTTTCATTTATGCAAATATTATTCATTCTGTCAACCAACTTTGAAAAAATGTCCCATTTTTTCAAACATCAAACACTATTTCAGCTCGTGTTGAAATTCTTTCTGATAACAACAGGAATAGCAGCAATGGATGCATGTCAATGTTAGAGTTCAGTGATGCGTCCATCCGGTGAAGTTCCATCAGTGATACTATCGATAGGTGTGTATAAATGCACCAAATTAAATTCCTGAGAAGCGAAAAATGCTCGGAATCTCATTCCGGACAATGTCACTCAATTTAATACATATTACTGAAATGATGGAGCAGTACCCAAAGCAAACAGATTTACGTACACGCTATTGTAAAGCTTCCCTCGGGATTTAAAAGAGCATTCACAAACTAGCAGTTAGACACGAGAAGAAAGTAAAAATATGACAAATAATGGACTGATTAAAAACTTTTTGAACTTTGGTCTTTAATTCAACATTATGAAATTCCGATAATTACTAGAGGTTTTGTAAATTTAATACTGAAAAAATCTTTAATTCTGTTAAATTATATTTTAATTAAGTGCCAACAATGTTATAAAAATATAATTCATCTAAAAATGAACATATTTTGAACTTTGTTAATTATTTTATCTGCATTGTACTTGATGCTTACACACTGTTATGGATTTTTGACAATTTATGCAAAAAAGAAAACTTAATAAAATCACTTTGGAGCAACCTTAATTCTATGTAAAACTGATAAATTGAAAAAGATTATTAGATGTTATTAGATTCAATTTCATTCATATTCAAAGCTTTAAAATTCTCAGTATCAGTTCTCAGTCAACCATTTCTCTCAAATCTAATTTATTTGTTTATTACTTTTAGCGAAAGTAAGAAAAAGGGATTTAGTTAAAGATACAATTTTTCACTCAAATTTAATGATAACATCAATGAGAATAATTATGGATGAGATAAAAATTTCTTTCTGTCATACTTTTGAGTTTATTTAAGAAATGATAAAGTGATTAAGATTAACTGTAAATTTATTTTTCTTTTTGTTAACTTTATGTTTATGACTATTTTTTGAGATTTATATAAAATATTGAATTTTGCAGAAATTTTGCAAGCAAGCTAGAAAGTAAATTGCTTAGTTCGATAACTCTTACAAGTTATCACATTTGTAACTATACTGCATGAAAAGCTGAGCGTTCATTGATTATTTAAGAAATGTATTTTTTGATAAGTTTTAGATTTCGAAAAATTATGCTAACAAATAATAGAGTGGAATTTTTTCTTATATACCTAAATTCTTTTGAGGAAAGACTTATTAATAGAAAATAACTTGTGAATAGAAAGGAATAGAGTACTTCATTACCTATATATCAAATTTGATTTGAATTTTTTTTAACATAAAGGAATTGATTTCCTAGCTAGATGGTCTCACTATATTAAGAGGTTAGAGAAGAAATCATTAATTCTTGTTATCCATCGATTTGTTGGATTTGATGTAGAAACTAAATTATTGCATTAAAAAAAAAGTAAAACTAATATAATAAGTGATTATAATATGAGATAATTTCAGTTATTTTGATTACTTATTATATTTAAAAACGAAACTAAAATGTGTATTTGAGGGAAAATTTCTGAACAGTACCAATGTTTCACATTTCTGAACAGTTTCAATGTTTCAAATTTCTGAACATTATCAATAATATCGAAGGTCAGATGACAAGAAGACTGTCACATTGTTTTAATAATTTTTTGTTTCTCCACTTTTTATAATTAATTTTTGACATCGATTCACTGGCAACAAAATTTATAAAGAGTTTAAGATCAAGTAGATAAGAACATCATTGATACAATGTTCCCGATGTCATCCTTCCAATCCTAAGATGACAACATGGTACATTCTATCTCTCTGTCTATCTTATGTTCTCCCACCACTGTTATAGCATATTTATACAATATTTTCATTAATTATAATTGCTCGAAGTTTTTTTTTTTTTTTTTTTTTTTTTTCTTTCAACAATGGAATGTGTGTTCTACTAGAAGTGAAATGTCAAAAAGAATTCAGATTTATTACTATGCTGAATAAAGAAGGTGCAAAATTCAGTGACACAGCGTCATCGCATGTAATGTCAGTTTAACTCTTCGCCAGGATTTCACGACGGGCTGTGTGAAAGTTTGTTTTCATTATGTTAATTGTGATTGTGGGGATTTGAACTTTAAGTGTGATATGCAAAGAGCAGATTATGTGAACGTTGAGGTCAGGATTTGATTAGAATAGCATTGCTGGAAGTTGATAAGGTCATTTTGTAATCGAAGATGTTTCATCATTTTTTATATTTTTGTTTGAGATGATGGGCATATTTGGACGCGACAAAAAAGTCGATACAAAAGAAGCTGTTCGTGAGTTACAGCGAAAAATGCGAACTGAATTGCGTCAGCTTGATCGTCAGATTCATGCCATTGAACGGGAAGAAATGAAGGTTATTCTCATGATTAAACATTATGAAGGTTTTGTGAAGTATTGTTTAACTGTCATTTAGGTTCCTTCACGACCGTGATTATTATATTCCTTGTAAAGTAGAAATTCAAGCTTTACTTGTAAAAGAAATAATTGCAGGTCAAAAGGCAGATCAAAGAATCAGCAAAAAAAGGTGATCGAGATGTATGTATCGTGCTTGCAAAGTCTATTTTACAGTCAAGAAAAGTTAGTTATTTCATTAGTTTGGTCTTATTACTAACTTATTTTATTATTTCATTAGTTATTTCTTTATACATATTATTTTATCAGTTCCTGATGTAGCGATTCGTGTTATCTGTGGCTCGAGTTACTTTCAATCATAAATTTAGAGATTTGGAGATTAACTGATTACTATAGCAATAAAACTTTAGTAAATGTGTTGAACTCAGCTCAATTGGAGACAATGCGTGTGTGCTTCTTCAGACTGATTTTCTATTTCTCTGTGCGATTTTCCATAGGAATACATTTCTTATTTCTGATTGTTGTGAAGATGCATTAGACATCCTAAAAATGCTGTTTTCTTCAATTGTTATTCTCTGAAATGGAACATTATATAGACTGTATTTTCTTTATTCGCTTCTACTTTGAAATTAATTTTGTTACTTAAATACATTGTATTCAGCTTTTCAATTTTAGGCGAATTTTTGTTTTTGTAATTTGGAATTCATTTGGTAAAAATTTCTTTTTAGGCAGTGTCAAAAATTCATGGAACAAAGGCACAGATCAATTCTGTTGTTATGGGGATGCAGCAGCAACTTGCAACAGTTCGTATGGCGGGCTCGTTGCAGCAGTCAACAGACGTAATGAGAAATATGCAGCAGCTAGTGAAGGTTATGTCTGATTCCGAAAGAATAAAGTTGAGACATAACTAAAGATAGAATATATTTGAAGTGAACGGTATGGGGCGAATCTTGAAATCAGTGTAAAGAATTGGTGAACTCTCCGAATTTGTTAATTTACAATTAATGTTTGGCCACTGTTAGTATCATCTAAGAATGATAGCTAAATTATAAGGGATGAAATGGGAAATCATATGGTGTAGTATATAGATAACAGTAACTATGTCAACATAAATAAATGCTGCAACTAATATTACATGTTACGAATTTAAGGTGCCTGAAATAATGTCAACAATGCGTGAACTTTCGAAAGAGATGATGAAAATAGGTATTATAGATGAAATGATTGAGGAAACTATGGAATCAGTTGAACCAGAAGAGCTTGAAGAAGCAGCGCAGGTACTGTCATATGATTTTTGAATGTACAGTAATCGAAGTCCGTCACGAATTTTGGAATTTGAATTATACTTGAATTGACTTACAACAGAAATTCGCTTGCCTTATTTTATTACTGAAATTGTTAAGTCTACTTGGTTCTTCCATGCTGTTTGCTGAATAAAAGGAAGAGTAGTAATGGAACTTTATACGAAACTAATTGCTGCATCAAGAACTTTGCGAAATTAGTTACGAACTTTTCCATTATATCTTTGTTCGCTGTGTAATCTACCAGTACACTTCTTATTTGCAACAAATTGAAAAGTTTTTACAGGAAGAAGTAGATCGGATATTGTATGAAATTACAGCCGGTGAATTGGGTAAAGCACCATCTGCTGTCAAGGATACACTTGCAGTGGAACCAGAAAACATATTGACGGGTACTGATGGACATGCTGTTGATTATGATGAGATGCGTGCTAGATTAGAGTTCCTCAAAAATTGACCTCGGAAAAAGTTAAAGTAATTTCACTCCTTCACTCTTTATAATTATAATATTAAGCTTGTGCTTTCTAATGCTATTTTTTGAAGAGTTGTACTATATGAACTTAAGAAAAAAGTAAGGCTCTCATCACTTGATTTTTGTGAGGCTCTTACCAAAAGTTTTATTTGAACAGTAAAAATAATGTTTCCTTTTCGATGCTGGTCAGATAATAACAACATCGATTAGCTTTTAGTCACAAATTAGAAAAGTTGAATTTAATCCTTGGTATAACTGTTTCTCAAATTTGAAACAGTTTTGTCCTGTATATGGTAAGTGCAAATTTCGTTACATTTTTGTTTTTTATGAGCTAATTTCGTTGATTATCTTTTGATCAAAGTAATTTATATGTTATGCACGGTGATATCGTGTTTCATTAATTGTAAATGTCGATTAAGTACACTGTGTTGGACCTTATACATATCTGTTTGCTGATTTTTTAAAACTATTAGTTTGCATGAAATACAAAGTGTACAAAGAAGAATTCCATCTTAGGTTACTTAAAGCTGTTGATAATGATAGGATTGCTTAAATTTTGAAGAGTAGCGGATGAATGAGCATAACATAACATAGGGGAAGACATATTATTAGCGGAATAATTTTTAATATGTCTGCAATTCGTTCATTGCTTAGATGTAGAGTAATGAAAATTTAGAAATAAATTGTAGGAATATATTAAGTACTGAGACGGGTGAAAAACAAATTGGCTGGTAACAGTTTTTTCCTGGTTTACGATATCTGCTAATTTTCATTTGTTATGATTAGAATTATAGTTTCATGACTTTATTGCGGCTGGTTGGTGCGAGTAATTTTCGAAGATTTTCACGAAATTTATTTTTCATTTCGTAATAGTTTCTTTTTTTATTTCATAGAAGTAAAAGCGGATTATTGTAATCTTTCACGTCAATAAGTACAAAAAATAAAATCACTTTAATCAGATAAATGCTCGTTTACTGTTCAATATATATGTTATGAAATATAATGTAAAACCGGAAAGAATTTTCGGAAATGTAATGTAACAGTTCATCATACGATAAAATTGACTGTTCCTAGCAAAAAGGGAAATCCGATTTTCGTGGACGAAGTAAGTTAATAGTTTCCCGATATCATTCGAAATTTTCAGTTGGTTTTATATTTAATGGAGCGAAATGATTTCATGCTGAATTTACTATTTCGTATTAAAATATATCGTGAAGCCGTAGTGTATTTTAATAACATTCCATGTCTAATATTTCCTCCTAATAATTTGTTTGCTGCTTACTTTATTTTAGGTTAAGACATAAGGTATTAGTTTCTTTATAAATTGAAAATGGTTCCTTATTCTCATCAGTAAAAGTGTATTTACTTCTCTCCAATTTCTCGAAAGTTTTTGTCATACGTAATATTTCTTTTCTGCAGAAAATCAGTTATTTTGAGAGATATATGCGGTTCTTTTGTTTTGGAAAAGGAATAGGTAATTTTGCTATAAGAGTTATACGTAAAATCTAATTTATGCATAAGTAACGGATCTAGTTGTGGATACGTGGATGCAATTTTCCATAATTTTGTAATTATTTGGCACAGACATAAAAGTAAAGATTGGGAAGACTTTTTTTCATATTCATAAAAACAAGACTTAGTTATAGTTAACTGAATTATGAATTATAGTCAGGCGCGTTGTAGCAACAAAAGTATTCTCTGCCGTTTACCAGATTTTGATGATGAATCATTGATCACAGAGACGCTTTATTCATTATTATTTTAATTGCGGCATTTCCTTTTTGTACAGTTGTGCAAGGTGTTATTATTGGTTCAGTAGCAATGATAACTTTCTTCATTTCTCCACGAATAAATTGCGTAGATTTTTCCCAAAGCATTGCATAACTATTTCAAAGCACAATTATGTGATCGTTTAAATGATAGTTGAACATTAGTATCAAACTAATTGTTTTGAAATAATATTAGTTAGTGGTGTAAGAACTGAAATGTAAATTGCATATAATTTCATTCGTGATGTGCCTTACTTTCGGTGGGATTTGGGACATTCTGTTAACTTTGACAGTATTATTAACTTATTTTCATACTAAATAGCTGTCTTTTCTTGCTTGTAAGTTGACTTTTAGGTGAATCGAGATGAGATAATTTTCACCACAAAATACGCAATTCTCGATAACATAATAAAAATAATAGATGGGTATGGTAATAATACATGAAGGGCGAAGATGCATTTCTTGTTGTAGAAGATGAAAGAGGAGAAAAATGAGCGATAAAATAGGATGCTGATAAATATATATATAGAGAGAGAGAGAGAGAGAAAGAGGGAGGTTTTTTTTTTGTGTTATGGACCTGAAAAATGGATTCATCTGTCCTTTTCACTGTCTCTTCTCGTCTCATTGCCTCTATCAGTTTTTGGTTGCATTGATTTGAGAATGAATTGCTAGTGTTGAACAGAGGAAGGTGAAAGAAGAATAGAAATTTCAGTTAGATAGGATAGGATAGTATTGAAAGGATGGAAGAAACGAACAGCAATGTTTCGTTTTTCGTTTCAAATTATTCATCATTCAACGATTGTTATTGCTGTTACTATCTCTTCGATATTCCTCTTTATTTTGATTTTGTGATGAGCTGTGTATATTGTTGATTCATTCTTACAATGTTTTGTTTCTCATTTTCTTCCTTTTTCTTTGTTCATTTTAAAATTATCACAACAGGTCACATTGACCGGATCAATACCTGTAAAGTAATGAAATGTACTGCTTAGTTGTTCTTTTGATGTTTTCACATTTCCTTCCTTATAATTGCTGTATGGATCTGCAATATATTTTCACTAATTTACCTTCACTAATATTTATTAATATTAAATTTTTCTTCACTAATATTTATATCACTAATTTATCAGTTACAGCACCTTCTATACTCTCCAGCATATGAATTGTTTGATTTTTTTCAATTTACTTTTTGCAATTTAAAACTTTTGTAACTTTGAGAGGGCTATCCTTATCATTAAGCTGATTATATGCTAGCATAAAATTCTACTTCTGGAAGAATGGCTATTTGGATTTTATCACTTATGGACATTATTTATTACTTTCACTTCGATCAGATTGCCATAACCTGAAAAATGTCCACGAAATCACACTTTTTTCCGTCTTTGAGAGTCGTTATTTTTGATTATACATAACTTGAATGATGTTCACTATCTTATTTAGAAACATTTAGATTAACGGTAATGGCCGAACATAGCTTCTATGCGGTGGGACATGGCAAGAAACCAGGCGTATATGAAAAGTGGGCGGATGTGCAGGAACAGGCTTGTTTTCCCGCACTTGTCACTTGCATGGCCTTTTCTAAATACAGCTTTTTATACTGACTTTGAATAGTCTATAGTCAACGTTGACTGAAAAATCAGATAATAAGGTATTCGACACTGATCAATTTTCTTTTTCGAATCACTGAGGCTGTTGACACACTTCTTCCGAACTAACATTATTTTATCTTATTGTGGCTTTCTATCATTAATAAATTTTCATAATGTTTATGCTAAATTCAGTTTAGTTTTGCAGATAAGGGATTTTCCTCAACCAGTTTATAAAAAATTTGCTACAAAAGAGGAAGCTGAGGAATATGTGAAAGTCCGACGACCGGAAAGAATTTCATGTTGGTTGTCACTTAATTTTTTGCAGATTATTTTGTCGAATGTTACAATATCTAATGCATATATATTGAAAGACTAATTGTTTATGTATGAAATGCCTTTCTGAAATACTCTTTTATTGTTGTTTATTGCATGAACTTCATATGATTTCGATGTTTATAATTTTCAAAGGTTATTTTAACGATAATAATAGAAACGAATGATTTATAAAAATTACGCTTGTAAAACGATTTCAGTGGATGTGGATGAGGAAGCGGATAAATTTTATGCAGTTGCTCGAGGAAAAGTTGTAGGAATATTTACAGATTACAATGAAGTTAAGAATCATGTGAGAGAAATACTGCATTTCTTTTATCATTTGAGTTGAGTGAAAAATTCTATTCCACATTTTTTTAGTAAGAATTCTAAACGTTTATTTGCCTTAATTTATTTATAATTGAACTATACAAAAAAGAGTTCCAGATAACCGATTATCCTCAGCCATTGTACAAGAAATTCGAGAAATTGGAGGAAGCAAAAGCTTATTATATGAAATATTCGAGTGGAGAAGAGGATGGTAATCCAAAAGGTTTTGTTTTTATTTACATTTTCCCTAGGATTTGAACATTTTTCGGAAGTGTAATGGTTATTTCAGAACATTCTATGATTTGCTTCAGAACAGCTGTGACGCTCTTAATTTATCGAAATTGTTTAAAAATAGTCTGGCGCGATGTAGCTTTATGCTGATAAAAAGAATAATTGCTTGATATCTTTATCACTTCTTATGGAATGGAATGCTGACTAAATGGTATTCAGCCGATATGGATAACTAATTTTCTATTTACAAGGGAGCATACCAAACCAATGGATTTACAAAATGGAACAATATGGGACGACACAAAAGGGAATGAAAAAGAACACGAAATCAAGTTTAATGATATCATGCCAAAATGAGTGTTAGATCGAGCATGTAATTAGTAATTTCAGAATCAAAAACTCATAATACAGCAACGGATAACAATGAGGAAGAAGTAAAAGAGACGGAAAATATGGAAGAGAAGAAAGAGGCGAGGATAACATCGATTCTTGCTTGATTAATAAACACATGATTAATGCTTCCTTATGTTCTCTTTGTCCTTATAGCAATGTGTTGTTATTGTCTATGATTTAATTTTAGAATAAGTTTACTTTCTTCCTGTAAATTTCAGCAAACTAACAAAGGACCATCATTCTACGCTGTTGCACATGGCCATAAAACCGGTGTATTCAAAACATGGGAAGAATGTTTGGAAGCAACGAAGGATTTCAAAGGTGCCAAATTTAAGAAGTTCGACAATGAGGAAGATGCGAAATTGTTTGTTGAAGGAAGAAACATTAAGGAAGCAGGTAATCGTGTTAAATTATTTATCATGATAGATTTAACAACGACAACTTGTATTCTCTTTCGACAAATATCGGTTTTAAATGTATGTTTTATTTCAAGTATATATTTTATTGTCATTACTTTCCAAAATTTACATCTGAATTTGTAGAAGGTCGTAAGAGGGCTCATAGTCCAAATGACGTAGAAGATGATGTCGAAGAGAAATCAGCAAAAAAGGGCTAAAATAAATGCCTGAAGAAAAGGGAGCTTTGTATTTTACATTGAATTAATGTGATTATTTTATATTCAGATACTATTTTCGTAGACTTTGTTGATATTTTTGAACGTTTTTTCCCGACAATTGTAAATATAATAATGAAGTTTCTTATCCTAAAGGCTTATTTTTCTCAACGATTTTTTGTAGTTTATTGTGTTGAAATTAGTAACAGATATTTCTTTTAACATTGTTAGTTTTGTTTTCTTTAGCGATTTGTTACAGTTTTATTTTCATATATCATTTTGTTCTAATAACTCTTCCTTAATGAACATAGCAATTTTTTTGTTTATCTTTTTTGTGAGAAATTTATTAGTCATATACAAAAGATCAAAAACTGATGACCTTGGTTTTGTTTTCTTCTATTTTCCTTGATGTTTTCCTGTTTTACTCTACTCTTCATTCTTTCTACTTGACAACAGAACAAGCACAACAGCAGACAACAGCAAGATATTGTGCACTTCGCTTTCTTTTTGAGTAATTCTCTGTTGGTGCATCTATTTGGTGAATGTTAAAAAATTGTGAACAGTAATTATTTTGTGAATTTTCAGTTCATTTTTTTTTATCACTAAAAAAACATTTGTTATTATACTTCGACTGTTAAATGAATGTTTTGCTAAAATGTCAAGGCTAGCATAGCATCATAAGAAATGATCTGTTTTGGTAGCAGTTGACATATATTTGCGCAGTTATAAGCCGGTGTTAGAAGTTCCATTGAAATTGTAAAATCTTCGAAGTTATTAGCTTTGAATCTCTTGAGTTTAACTGATTAGGCTGAATGTTGGAGGACGGTTAATTTTTCTTTTCAAATTAAAAAGCTCTTGCAGTTCTGATTTTCCTGTTTCCATGTGTTATGCAACGAATAATATTATGAGTCTTTTCCAAAAAATATTCATATTTCGAAGTCGGTCGTTTGAGTTATTTAAGGTTGTTTTCAAGGGAACCTAGTAGAATGGTTCGGTTAAATTAATTTTTATATTCCAGTGCTACCTAATACCTAACATTAAGAATGAAAACTGGCTACTATGCGGTTGCTCGAGGTCGTTGCACTGGAGTCTACAAGACTTGGTCAGAATGTGAAAGGCAGGTGAAAGGATATCGAAATGCTAGGCCGGTGCTTCTTCAATCTAAATTATTAATGATTATGTTGTTATCGTTGCACCGAGCAAGAGCATTCAATTAATGTTACAACTCCTTTATTCCAGTAATTTCCGATTGCTGGAATAAAAAAAAAAAGCAAATCTTAGCTAAACATTTGACAAAAATTACGGTTTTTTCTTAAGTGACCTTGAAATTTGTAAAATTTTTGCAAAGTTTTGTAGTTTATAAAATTTTTATAAACTAGAAAGGTGTTTTATGAAAATTTTAAAAAAAAATTTCGAAGATGACATGAAAGTTCAGTGATGTTGTTTTCAGATACAGAAAATTCATTAAACAAAGTGATGCACTTGCTTTCATTTTAAAGAATAGCATATCTAACCATGCAGGTATAACCTCTAACTTTATTAAACAATTGCAAAATCTTTTCATATTGGAAGATGAAATAGTTCAATCTGAACTTTCCCAGTTTATTAAAGCTTATACTTAAAAGAAACAGTATGTAAGAAAAAACTATTTAAAAGAAAGTTGTTATAACAAACATATCATCTCCTGCATTTTCACAATCTTCATTATAAAATTAAAAGTTAACAATATAAAAGAAGCTAATAATAGTTTTATTTTCGTCTTATTGAATAGGAGATGGAAAAAGTTCACAATCTGAACTATCTTCAACAACAGAATTGCAGAAATTATCATCGTATGTTTTGTACTTATGAGAGTTACTGTCGTTTGAATGTTATCTAGCTAGAGAAATGTCTGCTGAACTTAGAAATTTCACAAGCTTTAAACAAGCCAATAAGTAGGCATCACTATGTATTATTGTTTTATGAAAGATCGAATACCATTATCTCATCAATTGAAGGGATAAACAGAAAAATTAACTAGTACTGATTCCAGTAGCTTTTTTCAAGAACAGATGAAAGTTCATGATAACCCTGATAAATAGCTGGATTAGAACTATGTTGTTTAAGAGTATGAATGTTATAAAAGAGACAAACTTTCCTGATACAAAGGTTTTCGTACTGTAAGTGAATTAGCGAGAAACAAATATCATGAAATTGCTTTTTAGCTCAAAACCATCATTTTCCCAAGAAGAGAATATATGGGAAGGAATTCCCATTGTATACACAGATGGTGCTTGTTCCTTTAATGGTCATGTTGGAGCTACTGCTGGAATTGGAGTTTATTGGGGCGAGCAGCACGTTGATAACATTTCCGAACCACTCCTTAGAGGACCACCGACCAATAATAGAGCTGAGCTTGAAGCGGTTATAAGGGCTGTACAAATGGTAATCTTAATTTCTAGAATTCTGATTTTAATATTTGTTTATTTTACATGATGAGAATTCAAAGTTCGGTATTTCAAATTTTTACAAGAAAATGAAATGTTTATCTTATTACTTATTCAGGCAATTCAACGAAGGTATCACCAGCTTATTGTTCGTACAGATTCCAACCTTCTGATTCAAACAATGAATTCATGGATACATGGCTGGCAAAAAAATGGTTGGAAAACATCAAATGGTACAACTGTCAAAAATCAAGATCTCATTATTGAACTGAACGGCTTGCTTAAAAACATAAATGTTAGTAAATATTTTAAGAATGTTAGTGTATTATTAGTACTAAAGAATTGTCTATTCTATTTTCATGAAGCGCTACTGGGAATGAAACATTTCACATTCCCTTCTTTTTATATAAAAAATATTTTGATGTGCCAAGAGCTTAGGGTCATATGAACTTAAATCCCTCATCCGCGTTTTTCTTTTTTTTTTTTTTTTTACTAGAAATTCTTTTCTTTAATCGGACCATGACATCAACTTATACGTGTAATATCCTTCGATAGTACCTCTCACCAAGACTAGAAATTCATCGCATCACATTTTCAGCTAATCATAAGACTACATGTATTCAGAAAGCTTCATAACAATAAACTTCAAATATACAGTAGCTAAATGCATGATTGTTGGAAGTTAGTCTGATTGGAAGTTATAAAAAGTCTTCGAAATTCCACTCGTTACATGTGTACTCGGCTTATCTAGTTGCAGGTACGTTTCGAGCATGTTGCTGGACATGTAGGAATATATGGGAACGAGAAAGCAGACCAACTTGCCCGAGAAGGAGCACTTCATTATCATCAAACCAAATCCTAATGATGAGGATGGAATGAAGCAAAAACTTAATATCGGTTTACTATTATTTTTTTTCCTACAAATTTTTTCTCATCTAAACCAAACTTTGCTGTTCAATTATAAAGCTCAGTTCAACAGCTCATCTTGCTACCTAGCCATGTAACAATAGCAACAACAGATACACTGGCACTTCTAACTCAACATTTTTCGTTGTCTGGAATTCGATATTTCAGTTTTTTTTTTTTTTTTTTTTTTTTTTGCTAGCAAAAATTCTTTTCTCGACAAATAAGTTAAGTGAAGATAAAATTCACAACGAACAAAAATTTTACAATACAAATAAAAGAAATAAGAGAAATATGTATCGCAGAGCAAAATGAACAATTTCGTTTATTAAGAAAGTACTTTGGAACCCGACTGACCATAAACTAATTCTTGAGTTTAGTAGTCTTAGTAGTTGTTGTGTGTTGATTTGTACGCTAACGATTCATTAAATAAAATGTATATCTTCCTTATTAAAGGCTAGCAACAACGAAAGGAAATCCTCCATATCCATCTGCCTTGCACGTTTTAACGCAAAACCACTTTCTGTGATGATATGTTCCACTTTATCTTTCATGCTAAATGAACTCTCGATTTCCTAGAAACAAATTTCTGCTTAGACAAAAATTTCTTAGTAAACAACTCACCTTAAAATTAATGGAAAATTTTAGAATTAAAAAATTTTTTATTATATAATATAATTAATATACCTTATTTTTAATGCTGCAAAGAGCCTTGTAGCTCTTTTCCAGTGAATCACACACCTGATTATTTTTAAATAGAGACAATAAAGTTTTATTCTTTCTAAGAAAAATAATCCTAAGCAGACTGTCCCATTCCTGAAAATCTTGACAAAATATTAGCAAGTTAACTTAGCAGTGCTCATTAGTTGCTTAATGATTTGCAAAGTTTCCGCTATTTACAGCTATAAGAATAAAAAACATGTCGTATTAAGAAGTGTAATCTGGGTACATTTATAAAAGTCATCTTTTTTTAAGTGCACAAAATCATTCTGTTACATAATTGTTCTGTAACAATGGAACTGTCTGCCGTCGGTGGTATTAGTCTACTATTGAAAAATCATTTAATTTGCGAAGCAGGCACCTTGCTTCACATTTCCGCAAATCGCTCAGCAACAGAATGAATACGCATTAAAAATGAGAACGTGTGTTCTGTACTGATACATGACATGTGCATTATTGTACACTCTTATCAAATTATAATTTCCACTATATAAATGGGGAAATTTTTATATATCAAAAGGAATCAACCTGAAAATTGATTTGAGGAGGAGGATTTCTTGGTGCAATGCGTACGACAGCTGAATCAACTTTTGGTGGTGGTCGAAATTCTGTTCGCTTTACCTTCATTAAATGTTCCACCTGTAAGGAAAGTTCTAATCAGTGTAAATAATGAATAAATGCACAGGACTTTAGTGAAGTTGAAACCCTTGAAAAGCAAATCAACTATAAAATGAAACAATTATCAAGCATTTTCATCATGAAAATAACATGATTCGAAAGGAATGAAACAGAAATACCTACTTGTGCAAGGAACTGGACATTCACACTTAACCGACAGTATAATTTATTGCCAGGTTTTGCTAATAATCGATCCGCAAATTCCTTTTGGAACATTAATACAGCATATCTGAAGTGCATTGCATAAAACTATCACAGGATTACAAGAACTCTGTTGAGAAAAGATAGCAGTTTATCCTTTGACTCTACGAACTTGGAATTTAAAAATTACCTAGGCAAGGGCCGCTGCAATAACAGCTTAAATACAAAGGGCGATGAGATCTGATACGGTAGATTGGCAACACACACATCAAAAAAAGGCCATTCCGTTTTTATAACATCTCCTTGTCTCACTTCCAGTTTTTGCTGATTTGATCTGTAAACTTCAAAATGATAGTCAAATTGTATTGAGTCAGATCCAGTCTACAACATTAGATTTACAGGAAAAATCCAAAAAAATAAGAGGAATCGCTCACGTTCCAATCACTCGTTTTTTCAGTTCAGCGATCATCCGTCGATCAATTTCGCATGCAATCACCTTTTTAGCTTTTCCTAAAAGCGCTACTGTCAAATTACCAGTACCAGATCCAACTTCGAAAACAGTATCCGTTGATTTGATTGCTGACTGTAAAACAGCTGGACAGTTTTCTAAGTTCAAGAAATTCATGACAGCATGTCATTAGTTAATATGTTTATTCTAACATTATTCTTTTTGTCTACCGAAATTCTTTTTATAAAATTATCACGAAAATATTCCAGAGCTATCATGCAAAACATTTTTTTACTTCATGATAGCATGTCGTTAGTTAATAATTAAGATAGTGATAATTAACATAGATTTAAATGAATCAATTGAATTTCACCTTTTCAACAATGGCATTAACAATTCCCGGATTCTTCAAAATGTGCTGACCACGATCAATATTGAAAGGAAGGGCTGCAAATTGAAAATAACAGATCTTATGTACCACTCCATTTCAGCATAATTGTTGAAAAGGTATTTTTTATAATGTTTACCTTGCATATTGCCATTACTTTTTGATGCATCTTTTATCCTTAATTTAGCTTTACCCATAATGACTGAAATAAAATGCATTTAAAAAAATTAGACTTAAAAAAGTTATTTTAGTAGTAAGAAAACTGCAACACAATAGGACTTATTAGAATACTTTATGTAGAAAATAATTTTGAGGGAACTAAATTCATCTGTCTCTTCAGATAAAAAACAAGAAACAAATTCTTTTCATCGTTTAGTTGACTCGTTCTTTTGCAGAATCTATCCAAGAAAACAATATTAAAGCATACCACCAATATTTCTGCTAATTTTCATAGATTTCACAAAAAGTCATAAAGTCAAAGATGACATAAAGAGAGAAGAAGAAAAACTGTTGCTGACAGAAATCCCAAGGCAATATAAACTAGCCATCTACTCAACCACCTGTCCACTCTGAAAGGACCCACTAGATCTAAAATATCGCTGAGTGATGATGATAGCTATTGGATTGCAAATGATGGTCATTATGATCATCCTGTTCTCACCTCTAACTCATTTCATACCTGTTTATAGCCCTTTCAAGAATAATAGCAATAATTTGTTAAAATAACATTTCGCAGCCCTTTTGCAAGTCCGTTGGATATGGTTTGCTTATTCATTCTTTCATCTTTGTGAAAAACATCGCTGTATAAATTATCTGATAATTGTGTGCTAACCATTTCACTATTACTTATTCTTAATTACTATAAAATAAGATATTATTAAATATATATTCTTAATTACTATAAAATAAGATATTATTAAATATATATTCTTAATTACTATAAAATAAGATATTATTAAATATATTGGTACATTTTAATCCTAATATTAAATTAATTTATTTTGTAGTTAACATATATTCATAATCAATCACTTTTTAATATATCCATTAAAAGAGTTTGACAATAAAACGATTCATTGAAAGATGCTACTCAAATTGCAATGAAAAAGAATCTTATTGGGAATTAGAAATTATTTAATTTCAAATTACATCTGATTTTCAGTAAGTCAACATAAAAAGAAATAATATTCAAGTTTTACATAGCTATGCTGAATTTCGGCAATGGGACATTTGGATTAATGATCAATCTACTGTTGTTATTATTGTTGTTGCGTTTGACTTCAATCTCCTATTAATTTATCGAGGTCATTGGTCTCAGTTCACTTGAATTTTTAAAAATTAGACAACGAGATGTTATCATCTTATCAGCATATTAGTGTACCTTTTATTCTGAGTGAAATTGTTTACGTTTAGTCATTTTATCACTTTATCACAGCAAAAGTCAGATGAGAAAACTTTCTTGCACTATAGAAAACGGTTTTTTTTTTTTAAAAAAAAAAAAAGAAGTAGATCTATCGATAATCGATTGAAAATTTTTGCGAAAATACTGAATTATGATGACTAGGATTGGTAAATGATCCTGAATGAACTCCTTGAAACGTTTTCCATTTGATTTATCAAACTATTCCAAATCATTTCAATTCATTACTTAATCAAGTCTTCTTATTCTTTTCAATTCAACTTTTTCAATAAGCATTGATGATTTTTGCTCGACCTATATATTTCTGAAATTATCTGTTTTTTTAAATTAATGTACCACAGAACAAATGATGTTTTTGATGTCTTCCTGAAACTTTTATTTTTTAAACTAAAAACTTTCATACCAGAAAGAAAAAAGAAAAAAAAAAACAAAGTGCTTCAAATCTGCCACTGAATGATTAAGTGATTAGAAAGTTAGGACGAGTTCTTCCTTTCGACAGTTAGCTTTGAAATCTTTTCTTGGTTAGTGAACAGTATTAAATTTAAAATCCATATAAGCATAGAAGTTTAAAAATATTTCGAGAGGTCAAGAAATTTTATGATACAGTAAGATTGATAATATAGCGAATTAGAATTTAAACAAAAAGCATAATATATATTATATATTAAATATATGTGTGCCTCGAGAATACAAAATATTATATGCAGAAATTATTGATAACATTTTAAGACTTTAAATTTTATTGTCAAACAAAACCAAGGAACTGTATAACATGTTCATAACACACAATTTAATGTATTTCATCTAAATCTATATACTCAATAGAAAACTTAGTCAAAGTGATTATCACTGATCTTATTACACAATTCATTTCAAATATATATTTTTTGATTCAAATTCATTTCAAAATATTTTTTTTTTCAAAAGTTATATTTTCATTTTAATGTACCCTCTAACTTTTATATCTATAAGAAAAGATCATTTTTAGATTATATTATCCTAGAGATGATCTTATTTCGATTTATTATTTCATAGGACAAGCATATTACATTTGAAGTAATATTTTTTTTTTGTTTCTGGTAAACTATATTTATCGAAATGATATAATATCACTTATATTACTTTCTACTCTTCGTTGCACCACTGAATCAGGTGGTAACAGCTGTTAGAAGAATAAGAATGCTGTTCGAATTTAATTCACTTGCAGAGAGATACTAAGCCAAACTAAAGTAATGACAACGATGTGTAGAGGGATGTAAGTCTGAAAATCAGACTGAAGAGTGAACTGTGATGATTGAAATAGTGCAGCGAGAGGTATCGAGGGAAGTAAAGAGGTGTGGAGCGTTGTAACTATTTAGAAATATATATTATAAATAATATTCATTCTATTTTCTATCCTATTCATATATTTCTGTGAATCAATCAATTTGTGCTTGAAAATACATGCAGTGATGTTCTTATCATTCATTTCCATTTTTTAATTTTTTGTAAAATTTGCAACCTTTTTTACAACATCTTTTATTTATCATCCATAGAATTGTTCTTGACAATGGCAATACTTTGAGATGCTAGTGATGAACCACTTTTTTTTTTTTTTGAAATCATTGTTAATTGTTTACAAATAGTTAAATTATTTAATATTAACTCGAAATTTGTTTTGTTCACTTCAAGGAATTTTTTATTTCTTTCAAATGAACGATATGTAACCGTTTGATATTATTAATAATAACTAATAGATATGTTGCAATTTTTCTTTATCGTTTTTTTTTTTTTGAAATAGCATATAAGAACTGAATACAACTAATTAAATCGTCTACCTGATTGGTTGTCAAATAAGCATTTGTTTGTGGTCAAATAAGTATTTGTTTGTGGATCAAACAAAATGCTTGCAAAAACAAAATGCATAAATACAAAATTCAACACAGATAAGAGAATCATTTCAGATGAATACCGATGTCATCAACCGTATTCCATTATATCAACGGACTACCGAACCGGTTTGGGACCGTAGTGGCTATGATTTTCATCGTCCACCTCCTCCGTTACAAGGAGCTATCGTTCCACCGTATTCCACTGCTGTCATTCATTCTGCTGTTAAACCACCTACCGAATCTGATATTTACAGGTTTATATACATACATACGGAAATAGCAAGTTAGATTTACGGAAAGGGCAAGTTCAACTTTGAAAGTGTCGTGGAAGCAAAATTTTGTCGTGAAAGATTTGATAATTTAAATTATTATTTTGGGAGAGGTTGTTGATCGCAGTGAAATTATTAGTTGGATGTAGATGTAATTATGTGAGGTGACAGAGGAATATAATAATTTCTTTATTAACAGAAGCAATAATACTTGATAGAAAAGAATTGAAATTGAGTGATACTACAATAAGTTTCATTATCAGATACAGTTAATTGACAATTAGTACAATAACATTACTTGGACATCCAGTGAACAAGAAGTATGCAAAGCAAAGAACAAGAATTAAAAGATAACTGCTGGTGAGAACAGTAGTACCACTTCCATGAATGAAATTTCTAATTTCATACAAAATTATAGAATTGAAAAAAAAAAAAAAAAAAAACTTCTGATAAATTTTGATTGAAGATAAGAGCATTTCTTCCTAGTAATTCTTATATTTGTTAAAATAACCACAATAATACTACTTCTGATAAGCTAAATTATGAGAAACGTATTTTAGGGTTGGCGTTTATGGCTGGAGAAAGCGGTGTTTGTACTGTTTCATTTGCGCACTTACTGTTGCCGTCGTACTAAACTTAGCGTTAACTGTATGGATTATGTCTGTTCTCGACATCTCCACAGTATTATTTTTTTTGTTTTTCATATATAAATCTATGCATAGATAACTCTTTTACCTGTCTCAAATTTATTAATAATGATGCAGTTCATATTCGAGAGTTACGAGAAATAAAATAGTTAACTAATAATCAATTGTCAAAAAATGAAGATATTGTATAATGCAAGCCAAAATAAATGGACAGATATTATTATTACTTTAATCATTATCTCCATGTTATAGACTGGAATGGGTACAATGAGAATTGAAGATGACAGTATTCGAATTATGGGTGAAGCACAATTTGATCGCCCTGTTCATTTTGCCGAACTTTCTACAGCAGATGTAAGTTAAAGACTTTCGCTTATTTTACATAATGCTTAAAACTTTTAAGTGACAAAATAATAACTCATTACTGATGTAAATGATTTTTTTTTTTTGAATTCGTATTAGATTCATAATTCAAAATTCAGCTGCTTCATTGCCGAATTATTCATTGAATGGAATTATAGAATGAAGCGTTAACAATTGATTCATACCGTGGTGTCTTCATAAAAGCTCGAAATATGTCTGGATATGAGACTTCCATGCTTAATATGTTTCAAGATGGACGCATGGAGGCAGTGTGTGATCGTTTTGAAATTTACGATAATTCCCGAAAATTGCTATTTTTTGCTGAACCAAATGAAATTGGTTTCAAACTTGAAAATCTTCGAATACTTGGTAAGCACTCTCATAGTTTTCAAATTACACATGAAAGGGTCTTTTCAAATTCATTCACTGCTTTAAAAATATCTATTTAATTTAATGGAAAGAAAAAGATAAAGAATAAAAGAAACCAACACAATTTTAGATGATGGTGGAAGTGTTTTCGAAGGAGCTATACAAACAGCGCTCATTCGTCCGGAATCTGATAGTCCTCTAAGGTCTGCTTATTAACAGTTCAGATATTATAAGCTAACCTAGTTAAATTTCCTGAAATGAAGATAAGAATGATAAAAGAGAATTTTGTGTTAACTTTGAGATGATGATAATGCAAGAGGTAAAACAGTTAGCCTTCAAGGCTTATTCAAGATTTACAGTTTTACAAATTTAAACTTTCACTTGCAGCTGGAAGTAAGCACTAATTCAAGAACTAAGAGTTAAGTTAATGAATAATGAAAGGAACACACTTATTAAGTTTAGAATGAAATTTTTTTTAGCTTAGAATCACCAACTAGAAGTCTGAATTTGGAAGCAGGTCAAGATATTGAAATTACCAGCGCAGCCGGAGAAATCCAACTGTCATCTCTTCTTGACATTACCATTAATTCCAAACAGGTTAATTGTTATTTAATAATGAAACATTCACAGATATCATTTCTAGCAATTACTTTTCCGTAAATTATCTCCAACAGATCCTGTCTAGCGATATTTCTATCTCTTCATGAAATGAGAAAATTACAGGGTGAAGTTCGTCTTGAATCAAATAGTATAGTTATGTCTGGATTACCGAGAAGTGAAGCTCGAGGGAATGCCCAATATCAGTTATGTATGTGTCAAAATGGACTACTATTTATGGCAGTGGTTGGAGCCGATTGTCGAGCAGATCGAGGCATTTGCAGTTAACAACTCAGATAAAAGTTCGCTTGGAATTAAAATTTATCTTGAATCAATCACTCAGTCATTCTATTCACGTGTGCATTCCGATGTACTCATTCTATTCTAATGTAAATATCATTCTTTGCTCTCTTTTACTGATAACCTCTTTGTATAAGAACGTATAAAGCAACGATATTAAATTGTTAATTACTTATAAAAGTGCAGGTCAAAGGATAACAGTGTATCTCCTTCCATCATCTTGTGAGATTCAGATTATCTAGATGACTGGAAACAAAACCGTCTCCTTTCTGTCATGAAGGGACTATATCGGACGGAAAAACGTGCAGGTAACACGTCCATTTTCTTCCCGCCACGCATTCACTCGTGAACCCTTCCGTTATAACATTGATAAGCAAACCGATGAGCTATTCTGTTACATGTTGTTGACGTGAATGAAGCAAAGGGTATTATTTTATTGGTAGACGGAGCGACATTGTCATTCTTTGACATCCTCAGCGCTCGTTTTATGTGATGGAATTGATGGATTCATTTCACGTGTTCACGTTCGTAAGCGTAATTGGGATTTCAGATGCAAAGTCCACGCATACAACCTTTGAATAAACAGAATATTGTCGCAGGGAAGTATGTCCTTCTTTTGGTTCGATGTATTCGTTCACAACAATCACCTTCGTTTTCATTTGCATCTCAAAAAGCCAATGAACACGGCGTACCAATTCTTGTCACATTTATTTATCAACCAGGCAAATTTCTACAGATGATTTCTTTAAATTTGACCAAAAATTTCATGATTCATTATGATTTTAAAACATTACTTTCTCTTCCAGTGTTGTATTTCATTAATTTTTAGTGCACTAATCACTTATTGCAGATCAGTATAATTTGGCGCAACGAAAATTTCTTTTAGAAGGACTAATTTGTTTGCAAAATAATCTATCGCGTTTGCATGCACCCTTGTTAGTTGTAAAGGCGAGCGGTAATGAAGAAGCTACAGAAATTATTTTGAAACTATCTGATGTAGCCTGTGAAGTGATCATAGATGCTGCCTATTTACGCGAAGATCGCAATTTTGATGAAAATCTTAACGATAAGCTTGTAATGAAATGTCGCAGATTCACAAAAGTTGAAGGGAATGTCACTATACCTGTGGCGGTTATTGTTTACTTTGTGTCATTTCCTTTAAACATTTAGTTATTACTTTTTCTTTTTCACAGGATTTTAATATTTTTTTCACGGAACATGATTTTTCCTATAAAATTTGCTAAGAATGAATGAGTACTAGCAAATTTTGAAATTTAAAAAATAACCGAATGAAAAAAAAGAAAAAAAAAACTTAAAAAAAACTTTCAGACCTTATGCAATAAGCCAGCTTACAATGCTAATACAATTCGGAAAGTGGCATGGCATTTCCTTGACGATTTTCTTCTTGAAAAGTGGAATGTTACCCCAAAAATTTACTGTGAATCATGGGAAAGGTACGGAGTAGATTTACTTATTAATCTTTTTTTTTTTTGCTCGATCGATGTTATACTAAAGCAGAAATAATATAATTAGACAAATGTTAAACGCTTGTTTTGTTGTACATTAGTGAGCAATGAAAATTTTCCTTTATGCCACTGATTAATTAATGATCAGAGAAACTGCCTCAAGGAGTTCTGCGTTGTCAGAGATTAAATTATTACTATTTTACATGTTTCTTGGTATTTCAGTATAGTAGAATATAACTTGGAATGTATGGACATCTCGTCGGAGTGTACGAGAGCTTACAATGACTGCAGAACAAGCAGTGTATTGAAAGGTGGAGAAGATGCTGCGCTGCAAGTCTTAGACTATTTCATTGTTAATAATTTAAACACATATGATGAAGAAAGGTTTGTTTCTTTTTCCTTTTTTTCCCACTATCAATTTTATTTTTTCTTTCATTTGTTTGATTTTTTGACTACACAAAATTTCTCTGTTAGGAATATCCCGAACAGTGGAAAGCAGAGTCTTCTTTCACCTTACATCCACTTTGGCATGTTGAATCCAATTATGATTGTTGTTAAAGTCAAACAGTCCGAAGCACCAAAATCTGCCAAAGGTAATTTTTCCGTAGAAATGAGTCATCTTAACAAATGAAGCATATGTATGATAAAGAAAAGTGTGTTCTTTTGTTATTGGCAGAGTTTTATGAATATTCTAGAGTTTAATGACTGGGTAAATTTATAGCATAATGGCACTTTCATCTAGTAAAGTTTCATATTATGCACTTCAGATGCATTTTTGGAAGAACTGGTTGTTCGGCGGGAGCTAGCGCATAATTTTGTTTACTACTACAGAGACACCTACGATACAGTATGATTTAGTTTGAGATGAAAAGAATTTTTAGTTGATAATGGCAGACTCACTTATCAGCTGCATGGGAAATCATATTCATTACATTTTATTTTAGTTTGATTGTTTACCTGAGTGGGCAAAGAAAGCGATGGATGAACATCGTCATGATAAACGGGAATATATTTATAGTTACAAAGAGCTAGAAGAAGGTTGTACGCATGATGTTTATTGGAATGCAGCACAATTTGAACTTGTTTTCACTCATAAAGTATCAAGCTTCTTTTTCAACTGTATTTGCAATGATAATTTAATCACAAAATCTTTTGTCTGACTGCTGTGAATCATTGTTTCAGAATTTGTTATTTTCTGTTCATTTCATCTTCTGCAAAATTAAGTAAAATTGCACTGCCTATGAATTACTTCTCTTTTAACAGATGTCGGGTTATCTTCGTATGTATTGGGCGAAAAAAGTAATCGAATGGTCTCACGATTATGAATTCGCTTACGCTTTTCTTATTGAACAAAATGACAAATATGAATTAGATGGACGAGATCCCAATGGCTATTGTGGTGTTATGTGGAATTTTGGAATGCATGATCGAGCTCATGCGGTTCGTACCTATTTCTTTACAATTGTAAACATAATTCCATGTTGATGTTACTATTGAAAAAAGGAGAAGTGTATGAATTCAAATGTACTACAATATTTATATTAGAATCTCTTGTTGAATTGATATCTCTTCAGAACAGACCAGTGTTTGGGAAGATACGTTATATGTGTGCAGATGGATTACGGAGGAAGTTCCGAAATCATATTGATGAGTATGTTAATATCAATTACAGACGTGCAGGTCGTACGTTAGAGCTAAATAACCAGGATCAAACAAAACGACGAAAGCTTCACAAGATCTTGAGCCAAAAATAAAGAAAATATGTATAACTATGACGAAATAATTAAAAGATTCCCTTAAAAGATGTTCATTTATTCAAGATTATACTTATCATCATCATACAGGTTTACAGTTTATTTTTTGAGTTTAACAGAATTATTGCTACAGATAACATGTTTAACCATATCATAAATACATTGTTTATAATTCATTTGCTCAATAATATATCTATCTCATTATGTTAACTTTTTATGGTCATTTATGATTACTCATCTCTCATTATTCAATGATGTGTTTTGATTTCATTCTTTGTTATCTAAGTTTCGATAGTGTACAATTCAGTTTTCTGCATTTTTTTTTTTTTTTCTCCTTATTATAAATAATTTTTCTTTGTACTATCTCACATTTCCTTTTACAGCATATTTTTTTTCTGATTTTTACACTTTTTTTTAGTTGATTTAAGGAATAAAAATATAATTCATTGTTAGTACATTCAAAGCGAGTTGCTTATGTTCATTTTATTTCCACTAAATGTCCATTCCATAGTTCATTTTTCTAAGGTTTTATGTGCAGTTGAAAATGATCCATAAGGAAATCTTGTTACGACTTTTGCCGGTTTCAATTCATTATGATTGAAACATTTATGTCATTAAGTTTATCCATAGTCAGTGATCAGTTTCTAAGGATTTCTTTATGAATAGGTGTTGAAAATGATTTTGAGTTTGAGATTTGAAAAAAAGTGATTTTCTAAGATCTTATATGTGATGTATGGTTTATTTTGCAATGGAATTGTTAGCTTCCATTTCCTTATCATATAATTAATACTGAATGTGAACTGGCTATCTTTGAGAAATTTAGACAAATGGTATTTTATTTTGAGTTATGTCTGAACATCATCGTAAACCACATGCTATGAATACTGACGGGTCACAACGAGTGTCATATCTTAAGCCTAGATCAAGAATAAGCATTTCTTGGGACAGATTACTGTACAATGTTCGTTATATTAGTCAGCATTGGAAGGATCGTATATTGGTGAAAGCTGCTGCTGTTATGATTGTTTATACTATTGGGTTCGTTTTCCTTACGTTACTGTAGCAAAAGAATTTGAATTTTAATTTGTAGTGCTTTATTTTTTTCGCTTACTTTGAATTTGTTTGGAACAGTTTATTTTTTACCTATTAACTTTATTTTTTACCTATTAACTCCTCTTTTTTTATAAAACAAGACGAGACTTAAGATAATTCTTTTTTTTTGAAGAAGAAGATTCTCATCTTCATTTAGATATTCTGTTCCTTTAAAAATTTCCTGAGAGTTTAGCGTACAAATTTGGAGTGTTCAAAATGATCCAAAAATTAATTATAGATTGTATGCTTTCATTAAAAAATATTATGGCAATGAACATCCACTAAATCGTTATCAATGGAGGCAAATGAAGAGAAATGGCCAATTAAGCGAGGAAATGTTGCGTAAGGAAGAAATTGTTCAAAATTTTATGAAAGCACGATTTAGTAAAGTGTATGAGAAGGAACCCGTTTATTCCGTACGACGGCAAGGTCCTCCCGGAGTGTTGTGAATTTTGGATTCACAAGCAACTCGAGATATATTATTTATCAAAAGTCAAATGAAACTTTAATGAATTTAGTGAATTTGAGGAATGAAATAACCCTTTAATGAATTTAATGGATTTTATAAAAGCACTTAGCTTCAGGAAGAATTATGTTTACATAATTTTCTTCTTTTATTACATCACGAAATGATGTTTACAGATTAACCTTTGTGCAGATGCAGTTTATAGATCTAACCGTAAATTCTATAAGGCATAGGTTGAACCTTTGATACAATTTGATTCAGAATTCCATTCAATCAATAGTTCTCTGGCAAATATTAAAACATAGTATTAGAACATGAAGTAGACAATTTCATCCATTCCATCTAAATGTCTGTAATTCGCCTATTTTAATAGTGGGAGGAAAGTGCATTTTGTGCGTTATCTATGTAAGCACTTGTAATTGCTTTGTATACATTAAATTTGAATCCTATATTGCTCAGCTTAATTTATAGATAGACAATACTAAACAAAATTTTATCAGTTTAATTCATATGCACTTTATGGATTAGGAAATATTTTAATAGGCTTTTCAAATCTTTAAATTACAGGCAGTGCTTGGAATGTTTGCATTGCCTGTAAAGTACACAGTACCTTGAGATGTGATTTTGGAATACTGTGGATTAGAATTTTCAAGTTTCTATGATGTTTTATTTTTTCAATATACCTCCTTTATTTAGTTATCGAAAGTTGAGAATTCAGTGGTCAAATTATTAAGTGTTAGAAATAAATGGATCAAGTTGGAATGAACAAAGCAAAAATAATAGTTGAATTGAGTGAGATGTTTAAATGTTCTGCAATTTTGAAGTTTGATCTTTAAAAATTTTGTTTTGCATAAAATTGGGATTTCAGTTTATTTTAGTTGCTTATTTTAGTTTCTTAATTCCCACATTTATGAATACCAGAAAATAGCATTATCGAATTCATCAAGAATCATCTGTAAGCGGTAATCTTCTCGAATAAATATAAGATGAAAAGATATAATTCTCATCAGTTGAAACAGCTTCATTACAGTTACTCTCCAATGCCTTGGATTCATTTTCCACAAAATGAAATCCGGAATTGAAGTAAGACGACATATACTTTGGATGATTGTCGCTGGCACTTCGTCGTCGTGAGAGGGTGGCACATTTCCAAAAATTCCGTCTTCTGAAAATATTCGAAATTTTATCACTAAATCTTCTCTTAAACATATATAATGGAAATTTCGGCAAGTTTCTTCCACATTCAATAAACGCCATAAGTCACGGACACAAATAATATATCCGACGGGATGTTTTGGTGATTATTAGATTAGCAATTCAAATATTCTTTAGGATTTACTTCATTGGTTATTAATTTCATCAGTTAGTAAGATGATAAACAAAGAAAACCTTGGAGGTGCTGATAAGACTAATTTCTGTTCGATTAATTCATTAGTAGCATTCTGTACGATACTAGATACAATGCCTCGATCGTTCACGTGTTGAACGCGGTTAAAATAAGCTGATAGGCCGAGAGGATATCCCTAGAACGAATTTCTCTTAAATACTGTTTATATTTACAAACAAGTAATGGCTATTTTGTAATATATAAAAACTCAACTAATGCATTTCGAACCTCGTTCACTTTTTCTTCCTGCTTGGAATTTGATCTTTTCGTTTTTAATAACTGAGCATCTGAAATTTAGGTTCAATCAATTCATTTAATTTCATACATTTACTCACATTCCTACATATTTATTCGAAGTGTTAACTTACTACCTATTACATCGCCATATGAAGGTATCTTCCGGATCGATAACGAATTCTTTACAACACTGTGCTGCTTGCACTCAACATCTGCATTATAAAATGTCGTTACAAAGCATTCCGCATCTAAAGCAATAGTTTTCTCCTTGTAAATCGTATTGGTCTTTTGATGTTTTTGAGAATCAAAATTGAGTAAATCATTAAAATTTATTTATTATACAATTAAATCATTATTTCATTTTTAAAATATGAAGATTAAAACTTCATAACAAATGGTTGAATGTCTGAAAATTGCCGAGCTTGGTACTTGCCTTCTTGAACATCCTCAGCACTTTATTTCATTTATTCAAAACAATTTTCTTTATAGCTTTACAGAAAGACATAATTAGATTTAATCATTTTAATATTCCATAATATAAGGAGTTTGACCTATAAGTTTTAGGCCTAACTTTAAAGTTATAGCTATAAAGCACAATTGTTCGGTTACTAAAGTAAAAAAAAAAAATCAAAAAAAAAAGTTAAATTAAAACACACCAAAATTTTTTAGATCAACATAATTATAATCGAAAAATATATTACCTAAAAAAGCGTGACTCCTTATAAAGTTATTTATTTTGATTGTTGGTTTCTCGGATTCTCTTTTCTCGAACGTCACTTTTTTCTCTTGAATATCATTCCTTAGTTTTGAGATCTTTTGAACTTCATGAGATTCACATCGGCTTCGGTAATTTTGAGGTAATGATTCCTCCTTTCTTAAACCACACAAGTATAAATAGAGTGAATTATAGAGTAGATAATAAAAGATTTGCATTACTAAGATATCGATCTTTACAAAGAGAACTTAATTCCATCGTTAGGATGATTAAGATTAAGATTTATTAGATCACGCGACTTCCAGTAATTGATTTCAAGAAAAAGAAATTCATTATTTCCAAAAAATCGAAAGTGAAAGAATACATTACACAGTACATGGATAAATTTTTCCCACCCAAAAGTTCGGATTGAAAATTTAGAATCGATTAATTTCAAAAAAACATTTGCATGTGATAACTGGAATTTAATTCACTTGAAGAAAGCATCAGCATGATTAGAGATGATTGTGCAACGTCGCCGATCAGATCGCTGTATCTGGCGATGATTACGTGATAGGGACGATGAGCGACGTTTTGTTGACTTATCAAAGCTAGCATTGGAAATATTCATCAAAGCAAAGTAGAAAGCCATCGTTTCCTAGGACTCTTCCCAAAATAACACCAAATTTGAAAAACGGACAAATTTAATGGATTAGTGGGCTGACAAACTTCGCTGCTTTCGCGCTATTCCCAAGGGAATACATCATTTCACAGCTCTTTCCCTCCCATAGCTCCTAATCTTCTTTTAAATAACATTGTTCTTTTTAAAGGAACCTTTTAAGCATAACATTCCCCATGTTGATAACTCAACTCTTTCCTACAATTTAAAACAATAATTAGAGCTATATATTTTGGAAAAAGGACATATTCCAGTCTTTGTGAGAAGAGAAAAAACAGCTAAATCAAGTTCTAAGAAAAGAAAATATTCTAGCAACAGAGACGAATTCTTTATATATAAGTTAATAGAAGTAAAGTGATATGATACCTTCCACTCTAAAGTTCAGAAAACAACCATCATGTTGTATGTAAATCTGAATGTCCCCTTTATTTCTAATAGATTTGATGTTTACTTCACCTGAATCCTTTTTTTTTTTTAATAATATTCCTGTACTGCATTCTCACGATCATTTATCAAACATTAAAAAAGAAAAAAAAAAAAAAAAACACAAGAATACCGGAATTTAAAGATGAGGTGGTAATAGTGTTATTTCATTACCAGTGAAAGCATTTAGTTATTCATCAATCTTTTAATTAATTGGCCATAATATGGACCAAAAGTTTCTCTATTATGATTTACAATGCGTGCAAAACGTGCAGTAAGGGCTGAAAGTTCCACATGTACTACTGATAAACCGGGTGGAAATCGCTGCTGATAGGACGGTACTCGATTTGAGGTAATTGAAAGAATGAAGTTGTGCATCCTGTCACCTACAGCAAAAAAGTTTTAATTGAATAATGAACTCTCAGTCATATGAAAATATAAAGGACAATGGAAATCAGAGATTATTGACAGTATTAAGTTTGGCAAATACAACTGAAATCAAGAATTCAAGAGTAAAAAAAATTAGAATGAACTTACGAATAAGTTTCCGGACATGATTTGCATGATCCCTAATTTGCAAAATTTGTTCTCCCAATTCAATGGATTTTTCCTTAGTCCAGTTAATGTTTAATGTTTCGCAACACTTTGATATTCTGTTATTACAAAGAACAGATACTGCTTCAAGATGATCCACTATATTACTAAAAAATCTTCAAGTTGTAAAAATGAAATTGAAATTTCGATAAATAAACAGCAAACTTCGAAAAAGAAATGAGGACATTAAAATTAACCTTTCAACGATATTATCAGTAATTACAATCACGTCGTTTTTTAAATTTGTCTTGAAATCTTTAATTTGAGCTACGTCCTTTCCAGCAAGATTGCAAGAAACCAGTACACAACTGGTACATATGATTAACTGCAAATATTTCGTAGCTATAGATTCCAGTCGTAAGCGATCGATCTGAAACGCCATCAAACCAAAACACTTACTAAAATAATGAACAAGAGAAACAATCCACTATCCTTTACAGAGTTGAAAGTGCTGACATAATATTTTAAATTTACTAAACTTATGATTAGTTAATTGCTTAATAAAATCGATATTACTAAAATTGTTAAATAAATAAATAAATATATATATCACCATCTAAAGATTGCTGTAATTTATATTTACTCCAGAAAAATTGGCACGAAACTAAAAACATTAAATGCAGAATTATAAGAAGGTTTGTGAGAGGATGGTTTAAATGTTATCATTGTTAAGTAAAGTTCTGATGTAGTTTTGTTGTTTTTTCTTCAAACAAATAAACAATTTTGACAATTTCTTTGTCGATCGTTTTATTAATTAATCTGTACTTTTATATATCGGGCTTGATATATTTATGAAGTATAACGTAATTGAAAAGGAATTATTATTACTATTTTTTTTTATTCTAACAAATGGTTCAATTATCACAACTCTAAGAAAGTTGATCGATATCATTTGAATAACGAATTATGTGTAAAGAGGAACGATACCTTGAGGGTTTCAGGGTAGGCATTTTGACAATCCCATTCTAACAATTCCATATACGCACTACTTACTATACCATTCACTTCACTGTTATTCAAGTCCTGCAAAACTAAACTGATGAGTATTCAAAAAAAAAAAAAAGAAAGAAAAAAAATGGAACTTGCAGAAAGTGAAAAAGAAGAGGAAATCACACAAATGGAAGAGATCAAGTACAAGATTTACTTCAAAACTTTTCTTGGCTGATGGTGCATCTGTACTGTTCATACTTATATGTCTATACAACCATTTCATCGTTGACAATTCCAATTCTAAAATCACAAAATTATATCTGTAAGAAAAAGAATGACACATCACTAATCTTTTAAATCCTGTGCGCATACAAAAATAATGAACAAGAGGAATAAGCGTAAATTTCAACAGTACTTTTATCTTTCTGTATCTTTCAGAGAAAAAAAAACTTCGTGAATGCTACGAACCTGGACTTTTGTCCAGTAGCTTCATAAATTGCTTTCTTTCGTATTCAGCTGAATGCTTTTCAACAGCAGAGCGATTAATTTGTACAAAAAAGTTGGCCATATCCAATTTCATTAAATCCAGAAGTTCACATACACCTCTAAAGATCCACATATATTTATACTCTGGCATTTGATATCAAGCAAACTTACATTTTAGAAATGAACTTGCCTTAACATATCTACATTATCTGTCTTCTCACGCAAATCATTCACCATTTTGTCTCTTGCTGGTGCACAAAGCCTACTCAAGAGCTCAACAATACTTTCAAATAATTGACGCACGTCCAAACACTTATTTTCAGCTTGTTGCTTTAATAAATCAGTATCCAGTATACATTCTATTTCGGAACGCAAACGAACATGGTGTTGTGTCAGCAAATCTAACATCATCTGTAACATAAAATATAAAATACAGCCGAAGAGCAATTAAAAAAAATTCACATTTGAAACAAACGCATGGATTTTTTAAATTGCCGCCTTTGAATCAAATAGAACCTTTTTTTTTGATAATTTCTGACATAAATAATTATGACCTTAAGATTTATCAAAATATTATGCTATGATTAACAGCATAAATATTACCATTCCGTTTTTTTGCCCTTCATGGAGTACACCTACAGTTGCATATATACATATGGAAATAACCTTTTTGATATCATCAAGCAAAGTCAGGGCGCAAGAGTAATCTGGCGGTATGCGAGTAAGGTCTTCACGCAGTTTATCCCAGTAAGCTTTTTTCATACAATCTTCCACCATTTGCTCTATTTGATTTGCTGGGTTTTTCTCGATAACAAACTCGGGATTAACCGCAATTTCATGTACCAGTGCCATATTCTCCAATGCTTCTGACATCTTCATCAAGTCATCCATACTCACAAATTTCGCTGGTGAAGTACCTGCAAAAAGAATACACTCGATAAAGACATTTGAAAAAGATATATAAAATGATCCTATTCCTTTTCCTTAAAGGTAAGTGTTAAAATGTTATCGCTTTAACTATGACTTGTCCATTACAAGTAGCTCGAAGGATATATTTAGACTTTAATTTTCAGATTTCATAATAAAACAAATTTAAAATCTCTTATTCCACAATCGCTCAAAATGAGAATAATCTCTTATCAGCTTAATTCTCTCCTCTTTAAAATGAAAAAGTTACCATAATAAATACTAAATATCACAGAATAGTCTTACCAGCTACCCACGTTGGTAACTCAGCAGTGCTGGCAGTGGAAATGCTAAGATCGCTTCTTTTTCGCTTAGTAGCAGTACTATTTGAACTGGGGACATCCTTTACTAGAACAGCAGCAGATTCTCCTTTCGAGTCTTCATTTGTTGATTTATTTGTTTCAGTTTCTTTCTCTTCATCCTCATTTAACATTCTTCAAGGAATCCTTCGAGAAATTCCTCAAAACACTGATAATTCCAAGCAAAATCTGATTTTTCAAGACGCGGTTCCGCATATATAATTTAAAGAAATTTTACCAGACTTCATACGGATTAAAAGCTGAGAGTCAAATGGAAAACGGAAATCCGAAGAGGAAGGAATAAATTTGAGAAAAAAAAAAACTATAGAAATGAGACAAACTAAAAGGAAGCATTTGAAAAGACAAACACAGATTTATAGTTGTAAGTCTAATGAAATTAAAATGATTAATACAAAGAAAAGTTACCGTCCCTTAAAGAAACTGTCCACTTTCTAAAATTTCTTCATTTATATTATACAAGAAAAAAAAGAAAAAAAAAAAAACGACAAAACAGTGACAAAGAAAATAAGATCTCTTGGCACAATTACAAATTTAATCACATACAGTTTTCTGTTTGTTTATACTTATTTTGAGTCTTACAAATTTCATAAACTGAAACATTTCTCTTTCAACGAATCTCAAAATTTTTCCCGAGATCCCTCTGTGCATTCCCATAAAATTGGGGTGGACACCTACAATACCTCAGCATTTTTCTAAAAAGCTTCCCAATTTGATGAAATGGGACGCGTTAAAAGTTTGAGAATGAAGTGCTGGATGAGCGTATGGGGTTGGTTTGTGACGTAGGTTTGGGGTGTTTTCGGAAGGTTCGGCAACTGAACTGATTTGATTATCAAAGTGATAAGGGACACTTATCTCTTGACAAACTGAAGTGAGGCAACTGGTCGCCCCGGCAGTAATGAATTTTGAATTAAGTAGCACGAAACGTACGTTTGTTACATTTCTCACACTTTTTTTGTTTCTTTACTTCACGTAGTTTTTTAAGCATAATCTGTTAACAGTATTACTAACAGTTAAGATAAATTTCAATTGTAACATTCTTTCTACAATTATGACACATCAGTAGCAAGTTTGTGTTGGCATGAAGCTAACTTGAAACACTAAGTAATCTCGTGTGTGACTATTCATCAGATTACCTCTTTTCAAATGAGTTTCCTAATTTAATTTAGTGCAAAGAGAAAAGCACGTAGCATTTTTCTAGTGAATATTTTAAAATATAAGATTCATATAAAGAAAATATAAGATGTAGTTTTTTTTTTTTTTTTTTTTTTCATTTCCCAATTTTTTTAGTAATTTCAATTTTTTATTCAGTTAGTAATTTCAGAAATTGGTATTGGATTGACATTATTTGGCGTCACATTCTTCACACTAGGTATTATTCTCTTTTTGGATGGAGCACTACTCGCTATTGGAAATGTTAGTTCACTTATTTCGAATCATTTCAATGAAGCATAAAATTTCAATATGATTAACTTACTTTTTCATGTCATTTCAGCTATTATTTATAAGCGGGTTAGTACTGGTAATAGGAATCCAACGTACAGTGGCATTCTTTTTTCAAAGGCATAAAGTCAAAGCATCTTCATTATTTCTTGGTGGTATTATCGTTGTATTAATCGGTTGGCCGTTATTGGGAATCGTTGCTGAAATTTGGGGCTTTTTTCTTTTGTTTGGGCAAGTTCCTTTTTTTGGCAAATTTCATTCGATTTCTTATGGAATTAATCTCCATCTGTTTATTTCATGAGTATTACTTTTTTCCACAAGTGATTCGCGCTTATATGTTGTATTAATTCAAAAACTCAGGATTACTTTTTTCTCATATCCCATTTCTTTATATACCGAAAATTTTTCTATATTCGAGATAAAAATATATATATGTTCAAGATCAAGGTACGATTTTCTATATTCAAGATACAAACAAATTAATGCTGATTTCAGTGGTTTTCTGCCCGTTGCTACAAATTTTCTTCGACAGGTTCCTATTGTTGGTAGTTTTTTATGTTTACCAGGAATATCACAGGTAACATACTTTTTTTTTTCCTAGAATAACCAAGCAGTTTTATTTTGCTAATTGTGTTGAGAAATACCGTCATACTACCCTGGTTTTGTCTGTGAATTGTGAAATCAAAATGTAAAGTTTCATTATATATATATATATATATATATATTGACATTGAACCTTCATTCTTCATTTTTTATTCTTAATCATTATAATGTGAGCTGAAATGAATGCAGGAAGTTTTTTTTTTCTTGATTTTTTATTCAAGTAAGCGTTTACAGATTTTGGATCGTTTAGCACCTGAAAGTCGATATCCAGTTTAGGCTTATCTGAATTGCAATGCATACATATTTAATCATTCTCACTACGAGAAAGTTATGCTTTTATGGTGGAAATAAAGCTTTTTAGAATTAAATCTTGATGGAGAAATTTTGAAGAATAACTTTGATAGATTGCCAGTCATTATTTACTATTTATATTTACAGCTTAGGCATTGTCGAGTTACAAAAATTTTTGGAATAGTTTTGTAATTGCCTACTTCTGGGTGCTTTGTATGTTGCAGATTTTAGTAAATAATGTGGAACTTTGCTTCTTTTCTGTTTGCTAAATTTTGCGGTTATTTTTCGTTTCAGATCTAAATGTTTTGTTGTTAATTTTTAATTCATTACTTCTTTTAAGTAAGTACATTTTATTTTGTACAGAAGATGATTTTTAAAGGACGGTTCCTTCATTTTCCTGGTTGTTTCGCTGAATGTAATCAAATGATTAACTTGTAATACATGTTACGAATAAAACTTGTAATTTGTTACTAAAACGCCACATAATGAGGTTTTTTGAGAAGAATATAGACTTATCACATTTTTTTATTAATTCTTCCAAAGAAGAGTGTAGAGAGAGTCCTGTCTGAGCCTTAATAACAAGCACTGGCCATTTTTAATATCTTTTTTCGACCTAAAAAAAATGCTGGGAGAAGAACCGATGTATCCTCTTAGTGTTGCCTTTAATTAAATTTACAGTGCATCACTAGTGCTGGTTCAGCCAACATCTCTTCATTTGCAGTGTAATACTTTTCAATATCAAGTCTAATAGAGTGGTTGAATATAATCTTCTAGAAAAAATTTAATATCTTCCTGATGTGTGTTTTCACTATCGTTGCTCACCGTTATATTGAATCACGGGCAAGGATACGGTTGGATGGGTTATCCCAGAATTATTTCGGTTCCTTTCAGTTAGTATAAGTTAACGACCAATTTATTTGAGAAGATTTTGTCCAAGTTACCAGTTCACGTCGAATTATACCTTTGTGTGATTAGCTTCAAGTTGTTTTATTTTATTTTATTTTTTACAACATCTGAGAGGATTCTAATATATGGATCTCCGATTTTGAAACTTTCGTTCATAAAATTCTAATATATATATAGATATATGGATCTCCGATTTTGAAACTTTCGTTCATAAAATTCTAATATATATATGGATATATGGATCTCCGATTTTGAAACTTTCGTTCATAAAATTCTAATATATATATGGATATATGGATCTCCGATTTTGAAACTTTCGTTCATAAAATTCTAATATATATATGGATATATGGATCTCCGATTTTGAAACTTTCGTTCATACTGAAGTAAAATAGGGCACAAACAAAAATGCAAGAGATTACTAAGTAGTTTGATCTCATGATTTTTTATTACCATCAAAAATCCATCTTTTTGTAAGTATTGTTGATCATATTTAAATGATACTACTTTTCATGATAATATGGTTGATTGTAAATATTGCTTTTTATTTAGCCTTAAGAAGTACATGAAGTGTTTATAACGTAGTATGCATAAAAAGTAGAAAATTTGCAATTGAATTTTCGGCATTGTTTAACAACTTAAATCTACTGGGATGGGTTCTTTGAATCAGGTCACTACACTGTTCATTTATCAATAAACAGCTAAAATATTTATTAAAACAGACAGCGAATATATCTATCATATTGGGAAGTGAGGAAAGAATGATATTTCATGGTGTAGTTAGAAAATTCCATTGTTAAAATGGAATATGAGTGGGTAGGTAAGCATTTTAGTAATACTAATCTTTCTATTTTTAATTTTTAGTAAATTCTTTAATATAAATTCAGATGATTTCATCTATTTTTTTTTTTTTTTTGATGCAAGTCTTTTTTTTTCTTTTTTTTAATGGAATCCTCTTTGGATAGATAAATGCTTTGATGCTACTTTGTTTAATTTTAGGGGCAAAATTTAAGTGCAGAACAAAACTTTTACACTTCATGAAATGCTGATAATTTGTTTTGCATATTTAGCAAAAAGATGAATTTTCCGATTTCGTAAATAAATTCTTACGAAGGATGAAAATTTAATAAATGCTATAAGATTAAAAAAAAAAAAAGGATTAGTGTTATACGGACAAGAAAAACAAGGCGAATGAAAAAGGGAGAACTAAACAATAGAGAAATGGAAAAATAAAATAAAATAAAAATGTTCAAATATCTCTTAACCCTACACAATTCAATTTAACAATACTACGGATATTTTTGAGAAATAAGTCAGATCGATTCTATCTAGTTCAATTCAAAAAGAGAACAAAAGAAGATCAAAATGTCAAGTGTAATCTAATCAGTGTAACTTCATTTTATTTTACTTCAAATCAATATGGAAAAAAAGAAAAGGAGTATTCAAATAAATGCGAATTGAAGAAAATTGAATTAGGCCAAAATGGCTGAGCAAAATTGGATTTGAATGAAATCAGGAAAATGTAGGATTGTGATATTGTTGAATTCAAGAAATAAATGTTGCTTGTTCATTCTTTTTTTTGCTGTAAAACAAGCAAATATTGCATAATTATTTCTTCCTAAAATATATTCTCATTAAGAGAGAGGAAAAAACTTGTTGACTCATTTCTCTATATTTTATTTATTTCAATCATTTGTATATGAATGAACCAAATAACTTCAACTATATCATATATATTTAGATCAATCCATCGAATCATATTATTCCAACAAGGAATATCTAATCTTATAGATGAAAGAAGGAATCAAAAAGTTTGCCAAACTTTTATTTTTCATGTAAATGCATATTATCTAATAATGTTATTGCACAGATCTATTAAAAAATTATATTTAACTTTGGTAAGAACTATAGTAATAGCAAAAAAAAAAAAAAAAAAAAAAACTAGTAAAAAGCAGTAAAAATAGTTTCATTTTCTGTTCATACTTTAATATTTATAAAGAGTATTCAGTATGTCAGATTTAATCACCACTAACTTTTATCAATTATTCGTTATTGATTAACTAAGTAATGTCAAATTTAACAAGTAAGATGTGCTGACATGTTCTAATTAATTATCTAATTTCTGCATCAAAAATATTTCTCAGTAATTTACTTCAAAGTTTTCCACATTTGTAATACAGTATTTCCATATTTTGCTACTAAATTTAACTTTCAATTTAGCAACAATCTTTGTTTGTTTTCTATTTTATTTCCTATCCGCTCAAATACTATAAGCTCCAAAAATCTTTTTTACCACTTTCCTTGTGCTAATAATTTTTAATTTATTTTTTCTCATTTATTAATAATTTTGAAAATTTCATATTTCTTTTTCTTTTTTCTTCTATAATCAAAATAAAACGATTACTATGTGATAAGCTTTCTCATTTGTTCATATATTCTTTTCTAAATTAATTTTGTCTTATTTTTCCATTTGTAACTCCCACAAGCAAATTGACATTCAAAAAAAATTTTTCTTCCTTTTTTTTTTAAACAAATTGTGGATAAATTATTGGTGCATTTTGCTTGACGAATACTAAGCTATTCTAATTACTGGGATATGAAATTGAATCAAAATACTGACAGCTCTATTCTCGTAACATTCCTTTCTTTTTTTTTTGTTTTTGTTTTTGTTTGGGAAGTTTGATCAGTGTATCAGTCTAGCATAGTATTATATTAGTAGCACTAATCAATGATACACTGAATTGGTGACAGTTGTGACAATTCTTAGTGCTGAAATTAAGCGAAAGAATTTTCCAATATTCAAATTTATCATGTAGTTTCACTCCACTTATTGCTTAAGCAATTATTTTTTTTTTTTTATTTTTCAATTCAATAGGCTTAAATGTTCACATTGTTAGCATTTCAATGCTTTGACATTTTTTTTAATACATATATTTCTTTTCTTTTTTTTTTTTGTCAGATAGTGAAACTTTTCATTTTTTTTTCTATTTCTCTTCTTCTGCTACTTCTTTGATTTATGTTTGTTTCTATTTGTGTTCTTACTCTAAGCTACGACCAGTGTTTCTTACTTTAGCTACGATATTCCTTTGATAGCAAAACACTGACCGCTCGTTAAATAAGTAATATATTTGAACTTCATTTTTCTATCTAAGAAATGGAGTATGAAATGTTAGTTCATTCTCATATAACATCCAATAATATCCTTCAAACTGTCTGTTTTTTTTTTTTTTTTTTTCGTTTCTCTTCAAAAATATTTCATAAAAATTTAGAGAAAGCGTAAATAGAATTCGATATTGTCGATCACCACCTGGTACGAAAATTTTCACTCCGAATAAAATTTCTTCACTAGCAAATGCAATATGTGCTAATTATGACTTAAATTTGAATTTAGAAAGATATATCTTCTAAAACTGAACTCATAACTAAGCAAATATATTTCTGTGAAATATGTTTAATAACAAAAACTAAAATTTCATTTTGATCACACTAAAAATTTTTGTTGATCAAAATTCTTGCATCACATGTGCTATGATTTCTTTACACAATCTTATTGCTTATGGAAGAAAAAAAGCAAAATTGTGATAACTGTGATTTGAGATAATGCATTAGAGAAGAATTTGTCTTTTTAATGAAATCAACAAAGGTATATTTGAAAACAAAATACTTTTTAGCATGTAGTAGTGTGCTTTACTAATGACATGCTTGGCTCTCCTCCTACGATTACTAAATTTCCTTCATTTTGAGCCTATGTCCTCTGCAAATATTGATTAGGCTCTTGCCATCCTTGTACAATTCATCCATTTACTTAAGTATTTATTTACTAACTCACTGACATACTTACCTTCTGCCTAATCAAGCTTTTTCTTAAATCTCTTTTTCAAAGACTGAAGAAACACTTTCATCTCATAAAATACATTATCCCTTTTCTTTGCTTCCTTATTTAATCAAACATTCATAATCATCTTCATTTTTTTTTTTTCATCTTTATTTAATTCATTCATTTTTAACTGAATCTTTATAAACTTTAATATTCTTATCATTCTTACAATATTTTAATAATCTATCTATGGTGTAACAAT